CAGTATATGTTATTTAGTAACTGTAGTCCCGTCCTGTTTTTTTTTCTTTCTTTTTTCTCGCGTTTACCAATATTTTAGGGCAAATAGTAATCATGTTCGGAATTGTGTGATAAAAAAAAAATAAAAAAATAAACGCTAGGTTTCAGTCCTATTTTGTTTTTTCAGAACCTCTAGCTTTCCTTTAAGCCATGTTTTTATGAACCAACTCGCTGCTATGCTTCTTTCCTTTACACACCGATGTTAAGCATAATCTTGAACGTCCTTCTTTTCTTTCCCTTCTCTTTTTTTTTTTTTTTGGGGGGGGGGGGGAGGGGGGGGTTATTGCAATCCATCATGGACGTTGCTTCGAACAAATTGTCTCGGTACACAGCCTGGAACACCACGCCTCATTTGATGGGCACACTTCCCTATCAGACCTCGCTGTAAGAAACGACACAGCCACAAAAAGAAAAAACGGTCGGGATTTTTAAGCTTCCTTGTCTAATGGCACGAACGGGAGCGTTTCTCGCTTTAAAATGTCGCGCTTGGTTTTGGAGCCTGACGGGCCATTTTTAACGACGTTTTTCTTTTTACGTTTCCTTCCTTTAAGGTTGACGACACATTCCATCGAACATGCACTTCATTCCCCAAATGGATTCGTCAATCTCCATTTATTTTTCTTGCCTCCGTATTCCCGTTTCATTTGTGTCACGTTCATGTTTCTTGTTTTGTCCGCTTTCATCAATACCAATTTCGTCTTTTTTTTTTTTTTCTTGCACGCTCTTTCTTTTTTTTTTAAACGTCCACCAAGTCAAAGAATCTCCGCGAAAAAACGAGTGAAACACACCGTAAAAATATTTTTTTTTTTTTCATCGAGCATTTTTATGTTTTGTCGTTGGCTTGTTAGATCCTTCGTATATGTTTTTTACTGTGTATATTTTACGTATGGTCTGCGCGCTTTCTTTATAGTATATCTCTTGGATTCGTTCGCGCTTGGGCATCGATGGGCTCATAAACAAAGTCGCGCGCTAGCTGATGATGACCGCTTTAATAAACGTTGTGTTTAAAGATTTGAAGATTCAGCGCTTCATTTCCTTCGCGTTGCCTCAGCGTCTTTCGGCAGGGTATATTTCTACCAGTAACCTAAAATGGGGGGTATCGGGAAGGGTTGGGCTGGAGCGACTGAACAGGGAATTCGTTGGGCACTTACTCTGAGTGCATATTGGACACGAGTGCTGTGTCATCGTTCGGTTTGGTCTCGAATCCAATCACACGCTTCGGGCCCCCCAAAAATGGCGACCGCCAGCCGCTGTTGTTGGTGGATATATGAAAAAAGGTATATTGGAGATCGTTACGATTCGAAAATGCTACTTCCTTACCTTTAAAACAGTGTCAGAAATCTCAAGCGACATCGTTTTGCTCTCTCTCTCTCCCCCCCTCTCTCACACGCACACACGTGAACTGTTTTCAGCTAGAACGCGCTAGTTTTAGCATTTATGACGGAAAAATGTTTACAGCGATTTCGGAGAAACTTTCGGATGACTGCCAACAATGATTGTAAGCGGCACGATGGGTGGAGTTTAGAGGGCGCAAGCTACCGCCCGTTATAAGGGGTACAGCCGTTATCATCCATCCATCCATCCACCCGATGGCTGGAGCGTCGTTACTCTGAAGCGTGATAATGCGTCGTCGACTGACCCGTTAAGCGTACCTATCCCGCCCGCCCATCAAAATTTCGTCCCGAAGTGGGAAAAAAATTGTACGTCTGAGAACCAACTCGGCGCGTCGCGTTGTCGGATCATCGCGATCCTGACGGTTGGTGCTAGAAGTCTCGGCCAAGAGTACGAGCGAACGCGATGGTCGCTGTCGTCGGTATACATCCCATGGACTGTGAGACCGGAGAGCGACCTGCAGCAGACCAGGCGTCTGTCGCATCCACCTCCGCTGCCGTGCCGCCGCCAGGGTCGCGCCCGACGACGGCGTGACACTTTTACGACGTCATCAGCCGGCGGATATCGAGGAACCACCTTTACGACGCTGTAGACACACAAGTCGTAGACGCGTGCCGGGCACCATAGCTCTAGGGTCGACCATAAGGAATTCATGACCGACACTTTGAATCCAGATGCGAAAGAATCAAAATAACGAAAGAAAGAGCCGGGAGACAGGGTAAACGGTCGAGTGCACGCAAAAAAATACAAGGCGCGTTGACTGGGCTTGGCCGCTCCCGGCTTCGTGTCACGCACACGGAAGCTTGGCTACGGGTCGCTGCGGTATCGGATTGTCCCAACTTCTGCGCGATGAGCCGACTTAGCTGTCGGGGCCCGATACATACCTTCCGGCTAGCCTGCCCAATGATGTCTGTTGTAGCAGGCTGGACCGGTACATGTAAATATGCAGACAGTTTTTGCATGACCGATGTGACCGTTATACGAGGATGCGTCAGGGAGTGTCTGCAGACCGTTCTTTTTTGTGCGTGTGTGATGTATACAAGCTGTCGGCTCTCCATCCCCTAATTCTGTTGTGGGCGCCGCCATCTTGAAGGTTGGTGCGGCTTCCTGCGCTTTGTGTAGACCAACTCAACTCTCTGACGTCATGCCGGTGCGGTGGCTCTGATGTGGGCAATGGGCATGCGTAGATCAGTCTTGTACGCGTTACTGGAAAAAAAAAAAGAGTAACTGGCTGAAATTACAATTACTTTATTGAAAATGTAATTTATTAAAGCAATCAATTTCTGCATCGCAAAAGTAAATGAAAAATTACCAGAAACTAACAGATTAGTTTTTACTTGGCTTTCTGTTGTTGTTTTTGTTTGTTTTTTTTACTTTTTATTGCGAAATCAAAATGCTTACATATGTTCGAAGTGGTTACATTTTGTTTCTTTTTGTCATTCGCACCTTGTTAAGCTGCAACAGCAGTTTTCGTTCGAAGTTCTCCTAAGTCATCTTCCCACGTTTCCTCGTGAAGGTATATGCCTCGACGCTAAAGCCCCTCGCGACAGATGCGCTCGAGGGAAGAGCGGTGTTGTTGCGCACAAACACTTTGCATAGCAGTTCGTGGTTGGGCAGTGCTTCGACGGACGCTTCCGAGTCCTGTAGAAAGCGAAGCGCTTCAATGTTGCGACCGCCTGTTGAAAGCTTTTCAGGTGGGAAAAGCGAAAAGCTGGAAAAGTCGTCCGTAGACGGATTTTTCGGAGCGTCTACAGAGACGGAAGACGTTGCGCAACCATAGCAGCGACGACTGAACTCGTCTGCCAGAAGACGACGAAGCTCGTGCAGGCGACGTCCTTCACTTGTCACCGATTTCGTCTTCAATCGAGGAATCGCACGGGCAGACAAACCGATTTTTTTTACGTAAACAAAAACTAATTTTAGCTCTTCCGGAAACATATAATTGATTACTTGTAATGGATTACAGAAAGATGGTTATGCAGCTGAATCCTTAAAAAGTTACAATATAATGTAATTGATTACGAGTAATCAGTTGCTTGTAACTCGTTACGTACAAGTTTAGCGCAGATGCTTCGCCTTAGGCGAATCTGGGTTCTGCGCAGGCGCAGTGCCCACACGCGGTGTGGGCAAATGAGGGGTCGTTTATAAACAGTGTCTCGGTCGAAAAGCTGTCAGAAAACTCAGGCGACGTCGCCTTGCTCTGTCGTGGACCGTTTTTGACATTTCTGGAAGACGAAAAAAAATATCGTTTTCTGCTATCTCACAATAAACTTCCCATAACTCGCACCAACAATTTTAAGCGCTAGGATGGCTGACGTGCCGGTATACCTTGAAGCCTGGCCAATTTTGTGACTATGGGAAGGGCAGACACGTGCTTCGCCTCCGTGGCTCTGATTGGCTCGAGGGAGCCGTAGTGTTCGCGCTTTCCCAAGAACGGATTTGGTGCGTCTATTCGAAAATACATTTTCAACATCCTTCTTGTGTGATGTTCCTTTTGGGATCCATATTGTCTTTGCCCTTTTAGAGGAAAAAATACATTTGTACGTTTTTTTTTGACGCTCTGAGAATGGCTATCATATCGCACTGAAGCGCCTTATGTCGGCAGTTGCGTTTAGCCGTGCACATTTCGAAACTGGGTGCACTTTCCTGCTAAACTACGTAAGAAGTGCAATTTTGTAAGAATAGGATGCTGCAATAAAAAAAAAGGTTTCTTCCGTAGTACACCATCCTATATATGTCTAAGGCGTAGCATTGTTCGTTACATGTAAAGCATGTAGAACATAAAAAAAAAACGCTGTAATTTATTTTCTATTACAAACAATGTAAAAAAAAAAACATTACGCCGGAAACTAGCATTTTTACTGCCTGAGAGACGGCGCTTGACAGGGCACTTTGACAGAGCATCCCGCTAGACACTAAAGTGTAAAACATTTTGCTTTGAAGAAAACAAAGTGTAAAATTTGAGTCGCTTTGAAAAACGACAGGCGCGAATAGCTTACGCAAGAGACGCGCCCCGAGGCACTTACTTGTCAAGGTAAATGTCCAGAAAGTTGTCTTTTTTTTTCACTAAATGAACATTGCGACACTAAATGGAATTGTAGTACTGCTCAGAGCTACAAGCTCTCGCCGACATCGGTCAGCGAGGGTCTTCTTTCTAAAAGTGAGAAGAGAGATTTAGCAAACAAAAGGACAACCTCATCATCGCGAACAATTGAACGCGTGCTTTTGAAGGCAGGCTGCTTTTCTTTCTGCGATACTCTGATTTTCAATCTAACAGCAATACGCGTGTATTTAAGATCACGCGCTTCTCATAAATACCCGTAGAAAGAAAAGAAAGAAAACAGAGCTCCTTCACTTTTTTCTAATCCTGTAATTCATGTTTTTTCGTTTTTTTTTTCTCCGACTGTTTTTCCGACAGGCTCGCTTGTGCTTTCTCCGTGTTCATCTTTCGTGGCCGATATATTTTTGACGCCATTCAATACAGCGACATGCTTTCTACTGCGTGATCAAACAGTCAATGTCCTTTGTTCTTTTCTCTCCCCTCCTCTTCCTCCCCTGCCCCCACATCAGTTTTCCACCACGCCAACTTCTTGTCTTCGATCGTGCCGGAGTCCTGGTGAGTACAGACATCTTGTTTTCAATTCTTTCTCAGTTTTTTTTTTTTTTTTTTTTACTTTTGTGTCATTTCTTTTACTTGATCGTTCTTTCTTGTTGATGGCAATAAATCTAATTATAGCAAGTGTACAGTTAATGCAGGTTTATCCTCGGTATAGTTTATTTAAAGTCGCTGGTCCTCGGAACCCAGCAGAGGCCTTCGGCCTAGTGTTGCCGTTAACTCAAGCCTAGCGCGTGCATTTTCTGTTGGCGCAACGGGGAACGCGACAGAACGGCACGCAACAAAAAAGCGCGCGACAAAACGGCACGGTCAAAACATCACGCGTCAAAACAGTACAGTGTCAAAAACAGCTAGCGTCAAAACAGCACGCGACAAAACAGCAGAGCGACAGAAGAGCACGTGCCAAAATACCATGCGACAAAACTGCAAACAAACAAAACAGCACGCACGTTTGTCACCGTTTAGCGCACTCGAAAAACTGTCACTCAAGCATTCAAACACCCAAAGAACACACCTCTCACACAGCGCTCACTAACAACTTTGTATTGCGTACTTTACTTCGGCTTCTACTTCTTCAGAATTTAGGCGATTTGCAAATAGAAAGAGACGACATATATATGAGTAAAAAATTCCTGTCCCTACGCTTAGGCTAATTTGCGGCTAAATAGTTTATCTCTTTTTGTGATAATGTTATCGACGATCTAGTATGACTGGAGGACAAATGCATGTTTTTGTTGTTGTTGTTGTTTTTTTTTGGCTGGAGAACGCATTATTAGTAGCACGCGCCTAAATTAAGTACGCGCTGCTAACGTGGTCAGCGGAACATTTGTGTATTGCCGTTACATTTTATTATCAACCGTTATATGGCTTTATTATATTATTACCTGTGTCGTTATATTTTATTACCTACTTATAGCGTCTCGTGCATGTTGAGGAAGATAAAACCCACCGCTCACCGCAGCACAATGACGCTAAATGTCTTGCCGCATTTTTAATGGCTAATTTATTGTTAATCCGTTAACGTTGGGTCCATATCACAAGAGCGAATGACATTTTAGCGAACGGCGACATTTGAGCGAATGGTCGTTTTAGCGAATAACGGGGGCGCGCGTTAACCCATCCGTCGCGCTGCGCTTTACGCCGCTTCGCGGCGACAGTCTGCGGCAACTCATTACAAAAATATGAACTCATTTGGCCCACCCGAAAACGCCGCTTCGCGGCGTCCGACTATTCGCTAAAGTGTCGTTCGATGAAACGTGGGCGTTCGCTAAAATGTCATTCGATCAAGTCAGTGCCTCCCGTTAACGTTTTATATCGATACAAATGCGGCACCCTATTTATCCTAAGGAAAAATAAAGATCGCAATTGACGAGTTTAGTGGAACTTATGAAGAAATAGCCTATTTGACATTCACTATTGTTTTACACATAGTTTAGACACAGTAAAAAAGTGACAGCCCACAAGAGCGTCAATGAGGAGCTGTGTGGCATTCTGGGACAGGACGTTGAGTAGTCTTTGCGAGATTCTCGCCTATGCCTTTGAACCCGATAGGGTGCGTCCTCTTTGGCCGTCAATCATCTCCTTTTGGTACATAGGGTACCGTATTTGTATAGATATAAAACGCTAACGGATTAACAATCAATCAGTAATTAAAACGACTGCAAACAATTTAGCTTCATTGGCTTGCGGTGGGAAGGTTCCATATTGCTGAACACACACGAAAAGCTATAAGTAGGTAGTAAAATATAGCTGTGCAGGGCAATAATATAAAGACATAAAAGGGTTGATAATAAAATGTAACGGCAAAGCACATGTTCTGCTGAAGTACCTTATAATTAGGTGCGTGCTCCTAATAATGTCATAAAGCGAAAAAAAAACAGTATGTATTTACGTGCGTGTTTCTTGTGTGTGCGCTTTTTTTTTTTTTTTTGCTGTTTACGTTTTGGCACGTGCTCTTCTGTCGCCCTGCTGTTTTGTCTCGTGCTGTTCTGTCGTGGTGTCCCGTCGCTGCGACATGGGCACCCCGAGTTCGTAAGGGTCCGTTGCCCGACTGGATTCGAGTGATTTCGCTTGTCGTCATCGGAAGATTGCGCTTTCGCTGTCCCAAGTTGGATTGTCTGAAATTGTCAATGACTGCGAGGGAGCGAAACGACTGGCTAAGATTCGGCTTGTAGAAATTGCGTGGCAGCGACCCTGCAGCGTAACGTTTTATTAGCTTTCGAAAGGGAACACCTGGTTGGGAGTCCCTTCATAGGTGTGAACGACGTATCTTGAAATTTTTTTAGTGTGTGCATTACTAAAACATATCGTGACAGATCCGTGCCAATTAAGCGTAGGCCAAAATCAACGCCAAAATGTTTATACGACACATGGAAAGGTGTAACGTTTGTCAGCAGGACATTACCGTCGCTCCGTGTCCTTGCAATCCCGAAGAAGGCTTGAAAATTCATTTATGTTGCACCCCCTCGTTTTCCCGGTCAACATCCAAACACAACGTCGGGGCGGCGGAGAAGTCCATGCTGCACCGTTTTTACCGACGTTGGTCCCTGCGCTCAGTTCAGTTCACGTGTCATTACATACATTACATAAATGGCGCGATAGTACACGCGGACCTGTAAACGAATTTCATTCTCCATTGAAAACTGCATTCGCACCGGCCGCAAGCGAACCGTGGTGTATTTTGGCTGCACAGCGGGAAGCCTGGTTCGGTGGCGGTGGCGTCCTTTGGAATTCGCTACTAGAGGGGCGGAAGGCAGAAACCATACTTTTGGTTTTTATTTTCTAAACTAGGTGGGGCAAGGCACCGCCCGTTATAAAGTGTACAGCGGTTAGCATTCGTTCATACATTCATTCGGTAGTATTTCTCATTCATCGTAGTCTGCGCGGTTTTTACTACGGGGAGGGCATGACGTCAGCCACGTAGCTTTCCCAAGCCATCCTTCCCTGCCGCTCGCCTCTTTCTCATTTTCCTCGCCAATTTCCCTTTCAAATATGAACCACGCGAGTCCACTGAATGGTACATGGTTGCGTCTACGAACTGAGCGGCACAAGGTTCTAACGTGGTTCTGTTCATGATTGCGGCCGCTGACTGCGCCCGCTGCCTTTCAATTGGTCCTATAACCATGAAGTGAAGAAGTTATTTTTTTACGCTCCGTTACCATCATGCGAATGGAAACTAGCGTTCTAATGATGTGGGTAACTTCATTTAGCTTGCGAAATCTGTTCGCGTTTAAAACGCAATTCAATTCGCCGCCTACATTCACCTTTGTCAATGTTTCGATGTACTGCTTTAAGTTGTCGCAATAGGCCCTTCATTCTGCCGGATCGTTCGGAGCGTGGAATGACACAACCCGCAGCACATCGCCGTGGCACAGCAAATCCACTGCGCATACTCTGCCGCTGTGATCAGTTTCCCATTCTGGAAACGCAGAAATTTCCTTATTCTTATGAACTAGAACTCCTGTGCCAGCGCTATGTGAAATATCGTTAGAGTACCGGAAGTCAAAAAGGCGCTCAAAGAACTTAGCCGCATGCTCTACAAGTCCGGGCCTGAGTTTCGTTTCCTGCAGAAGTTCAACATCCGCTCTTTCGTTGAGGGGGGTATAATCAAGCTGGAGCAGTTTAGCGTTACAACTTTAAGCTTATACATCGATGAGGAAACATGCGAGAGTTAAAAGGACTGAGGTGATCACGAGTACAACCTACCGTGAGTTGGGCTAACGTTGTCCTCGGGCTTTGATGGTACGATTTTTTCTGCAGCTTTTACCAGTTAGGCGCGTCTGGGTAGTCCTCGTCCTCAGTGTATTCACTCTCTGCCAAATCCAGGGGTCGCTTTTCAGTGGAGCTTTATGTAACGTCCATGGTAGTTTCGTCGTTAAATATATAAAATAGTGCAAAAAAGGCAGGGACATGAAGTATACTGGACAAGCGCTTGTCCTGTATACTCTTTGTCCTTATATTTTTTTGCGCTATTTTATATGTTTAACTAAGATGAACCACGGCCGGACTAGAAGCGACGCTCTCTTTCTCTTCTTACGGCCTTTGCAATCGCCCGGGAGTCAATGGCATTTTTTCTTCGTATGTAGTTCCCTTGCTTGCCGCCAGGGGCGCAACCACCTGACCCCACTTCTCCCCACCCGGAGGGTTCTTCGAGCTGCTTTGCGCTGGTGTTGGAGCTTCGTAGGTTGTTGTTTTGGCAACGGTTTATTGAACTTCGCTCCGATTTAAGTCACCCTACCGACAGGCAGTGTCGTCAGCAAACTGCGTTCCCCTGTGACATGAACGGGGAACGAGCAAGCTGCGTTCCCCTTCTAAGCAAATACATATGTCAGGCACTGATTCTGAGCAGTTGGCAGCGGCTGTGCCCGACTCGGTTACCACTGACCTGAAAAAACTGAGCGAGCCTTGCGCTCCAACTCCATCCGTGACATACTCTGGTCTGGTGTACGTCGGTGGCTATCTGGTAAAACTCATTAGTGAGTTTGAGTGTGACGCCTGTGCTATACTGTTCACTACGAGTAACAGAGGTGATCTTCTGTTCGTCTTATTGCAAAGCCAGAATAAAAGCGGACTTCATTACCTAAATCCTGGGTTCCTCGCACTTCTGGACAATATTGTTGCTTTTCTTAAAGGTTGTTAAGCACCTTCCGCGTACAAATGTGCACCAAATTCTGCAACTACTCATTGCACCCTATTTTGAAGACGCGCCAATCCTAAGTTTCCCAGAGGGCATTGACAACAGCCCTCTGCTCAAAGCGTTTGGCTGGGTGAATTTGCAACAAGTTCCTCAGAATACTTCTGATTAACCATGCAAAGACGGTCGCGGACAGAAACGAAAAATCAGCTGGATATCTGCACGAGCCCTTGAGGAAGCACTTTTATTCTGTAATATGCACTGTGCGAAAATTGTACAGACCACTACACCCTCGTCTAGAGCAGCTGACCGACTTCATGTGCGGCCTATGAATTGATGATGCAGACCACGGCAATAGATTGCGCCT